AAAAAATAGTCATGCAATGCGACGTAGGGGCTGAAATCGACTTGAGTTCGGTTGACCTTATGAGTGTCACGGAGCATTTCACCAATAAGTTTAATTGTTTTGATATCGTTTTTGTACAATACACGCACACACACAAACATGCACACACAATTGAGTGGATACCGGCCTGTCGGCACTAGCATCACAATCCAACGATTTCATTTCCATTTGAGAATGGCCAGGGACCACTCAGAGAGCAGACCGTAACTTTCCAATAAAGGTTAAAGGCGAAAAGGTCATCTTGTATATCGGCCAGTCGTTTCTTATAGCATCCCCTCGTCCCGTATCTCCTACTTCTTTGTTTCCTTGTCTGCCCCCCTTCTGGCCTCCGTTCACATTCCCTTACAATCTCTCATTTCATTGCTGGTTGCAATAGGCCCTGACAGCTCAAGTAGTCTTTTTTAGGCCAAACTCTAGATTTGAGAAGCTGTTGATTTTTCAAGACATTTTACTTCCAACCAGACAGCTGGGCTTCATCATGGTCAAGTCTCCCATTTCCATAGCCTTTTCTGCCTACTCTCTCTCTACACTCCCTTTTATCCCCTTCAGCCGTTCATACCTTGCATACCACATATTTGGCTTTTTCCTTCGTCCTTCTTGTGGGCTTTTTCAAACCAATTCACTCACTTATCCATTTTTCCTATTTCTGCACACGCATTGGAACGACGCCCTCCTTGTAGGCCCTGCTTCCGTGTTCTCCTTTTCTTCTGAAACTCCCTTCTTGTTCCCACAATTCGGTTCCTTCCCCAGTGCTGCCTACACGATTACTGGCAATGAACTTAGACAGCAAAACTGTGAGACAACGCTCTGCCTGCTGTCTTTCGGAACAGCTTCTCGTCGGTTCACAACAGACACTTGGTTTATTAAAAATATGAAAATTTATAATCCGTTTTCCTTCACTCCTACGATTCACTTTTGTTCCCTCGCTACCACATTTATTCGACTTCCCTATTATTTGTCCCTCTGCGGCTTAATCCACATTTCTTTTGTCTGGCTTTCTTAGCCATTTCTTCCCTTCATACAACATGTCAGAGCCATGCAGGCAAACCTTGCAAGACCCTTTCTTTGTAGACCACAGTCTGTCCTTAGACTCGAGCACCAGTACTTCATTTGGAGTCACACAAAAGGGAGCATGGAGGCCTTGGAAGCCCATAACTGAGCAGCCTAAGAGCTTCGGCTCAAATAACCTATTAATATTGGGCATAATCAACAGACAAAATTGTAATTTGATAGGACTGTTTTGTCGCCTAACAATGATTTGTCGCTCAGTTAGTTACGGCAAATGACACTGACGCCTCGTCGTTCCGATGGCCTTGGATGCCGCCTGCATTCAATTCACCATCCCTCCTCAGCAAAACCTGATAAATTATCCTAATTGACGCAGAAATTGGCTTCCGTTCAATCAACTAATCTCTCCCAACCCTAACGAAGAGCCAACAAGTCAACACTCCATAGCACAAGGCTGCATAGCAAATCGCATCGTGCCTATGACACTCCATTGAGATCGATGGTCATTAAAAGCTTCGAAAAAGTTTATTTTTAATTTTTCGTTTCAGATATAGGTTTTAGAGACTACCAGTAGATATGATATAAGAGCTGTATTTACCCTATTTCGTTGAAGGTGATGAAGAACTGATACTTAGATCTAACCACAATGCTATGAGTAGAATACATAGTTAAATTGAACTTCACATAGCCTTGCTTCCCAAAAGATAGTCACATCCAGGCTAAAAGGGACTGCAATTTCGACATCTACTTGGATTCATCAGCACCCTCAGCCGGACTCGAACTCGGGTTGTCGTAGATCAGCGTACAATCTTGACACATCAACATAGCCATAGCAATTGAGTATATTATTTATCTGTTCATTACATAAGTTTTTTTTCGAGACTGCCAATAGATCTGTGTTCACCCTTGAAATTTACTTTCGCCCTGTGATCGAAGAGCACTCGCAGAAGTGTGGCGTAGTGGTTAGTATGTTGAGAGTATACTACACACTATCACAACCCGAGTTCGAGTCCCTCTGAGGGTGCTGAAGAATCCAAGTCGAGGTGTAAATCGCAGTCGAGGATGTGAATATCTTTTGGGAAGCAAGGATATGTGAAATTCAATTGAAACAATAGGTCTACTCATATGCCTGTGAGACAATTCAACTACAAGTTATTCATCACCGTACACAAATAGGGTAAATAGGGTGAAATACGAAATCCTACTTATAAACGAAAAGTGGGGTAAATAAAGTACTTATATCAGTTCCTTTTCAACCTTAGATACGTTTAATGAAATAACTTTCTAGAAAAACGAAATAGCCATGGACTAGCCCATGGTCTCCTAAACTCTAGTTTTCGTCTGTGAATGACATTATATATAAGGTGCATTTACCCTATTTCCTTGAAGGTAATAAATGGACTGATATTGGAATTTTATCACATTGATATAAGTAGACCTTACGTCTCCACTTAATTTCGCATAGCCTTACTTACCAAAAGATATTCCCATTCAGGGTCGACTGTGAACCCCCAATGGGACTATGACCATGACAATGCAGCATTTAGCCCCAATACGTTAACTACTATGTCACATTGTCCGGAGTGCTCTTGGATAACAGGGCAGATGTGCATTTCAAGTAAGGCAAGGCATTTTCAAACATCACATCCTGAGGTTAAACTGTCGATGAAGTAATTTTTATTTGCTATAGCAATGAATTACATCATTTATTAGAAGGTATGAAGACCAAGATGGTGTAGCCTTTTGTGTGGTCGCAGTCTCCTTTTGTTGTATAGAAGTTGTTTGACCTTTTTTCGCAACTTTATCACATTGGTAGGAAGACTTTAAAGAAAGCACCTTGTTCTGAGTCCATTGTACGCATCATTATTTTCAGAGTAGAACCTTGGACGTGGTACATTCCCAGACGTTTCGTCTGCATCGTAGTCGGCATA